GCAAATTTTCATAAAACAATGTAAAAATCTAGATTTTTCGAATAATGCCGCTAATAATTACGGCCAGGTTTTATTTTACTAAACACTACTAATAACTGCCAATATTTAAATGCAGCTCCTTTGAGGGGGTAACGATTTATTCGAGTGGTGTGTGTGTGCATTTGGCGGCTTTTTCGGGGAGGGAGGGGGGCAGGAGAAGATTCGAGTACACAACGGGAATAGAACGAGTGGCACGCATTTAATCACAAAACTATGTGCACAAAAAATGTATTCGCAACTTTTAACATCGGAGAGCAGGTTGGCGGGCGGGCGGGCGGGCGGCTTCATTTGGCTTGGCTTGGCTTGGCTTGGCGGCTGGCTCACTTCTTGACGCTTTTCTTGCTTTTCGGCTTGTCGCCTTCTAAAGAGAGGGTACTGGTCTGTTAGCGGGGGGGGGCGGGGCTAAATTTTCCGAGTAATTCTTACTGCCCTATAATAACGAAACATAAATCATTTTCTAGAATTTTCCATATTTTTTTGATCTTGCAACCATTTTTAAAAATTTTGAAAAGTGGAAATTTTGGAAATTTTGCTCAAAAATTTATGAAAAATGACCAAAAAGGTCAAGATTTTCGAATTTTCAAAATTTTTCAAATTTTTCTAACTTTCTGGCATATGGAAAACGTTAAGAACTTAAGAAATGCATATTTTTGCTAAATTACCCTTTTTGGATGTTCCTTCAGCCTTGGACTTCTTGGCGCTCTTCCGCTGGCTCTCCTCCTTCTTCTTGTCCTTCTCCTTACTGGACGCCGTCTCGCGTTTCGACTTTCCTCCCGGGGACTTTCCCTGAAATTCGGTCGAATGTGGAGCTTTTGCATTATCGGGGGGCTACAAGCGGAAGATTTCGGGGCTTCTCTCTTAGCGGGGGGAGGGGTTAACTTATTTAAATTTTAGTGTTTTTGCGAATGTTTGGTTGCTAGAAAGTTATAAAAAAAAGTTTATTTTTAAAATTCGAAAACTTTGACCTTTTTCTAAACATTTTTTAGACAATTTTGATTTTAAAATTTTTCTGATAGTTTTATGAGCTTTTTCTCTTTAAAAAAATTGTGTAAAATGCTAGAAAAATGGTTTCTATTTTGTTATAGGACCGTACAGGATTACTGGGAAAATTTGGTCCCTCCTGCTACACCCCCGCTAATAGTCCAGTACCGAAACTTATATAGGGAAGCCAACGCCCCCCCCCCGATAATACACAAGAACCCAATAATTTAAAGGGATCATGAACGTAGAGAGAGAGAGAGAGAGAGAGAGAGAGAGAGAGAGAGAGAGAGAGAGAGAGAGAGAGAGAGAGAGAGAGAGGGAAAGAGAGCACCTTTTCTGATTTCTTGTCGGGTTCCTTTTCCTCCTTCTTTGGCGGCTCCTCTGCCTTTTTCTCTTCCTTCTTGCTGTCGTCGCCGCCCTCCTTCTTGTCGGCGGCTTTCTTCTTTTTCTCCTCTTCCTCCTTGGCCTTCTCCTCGGCCTCCTTTTGCTCCTTCTCGGCTTCCGCATTCTAGGATGCGCCCTTTGCTACCGTAGCCCAAAACAAAATACCGGATCCGTGGGGAAGCTGTCGGTGACGAAGGACACCACCGGATTCTCCACCATATTCGGGTTGTCTTTGGGAGGTGCCTGGAAATCGGTACTTTTGCATTAGCGGGGGGGGATTATTTATTTTGTATAGGTTTAAAAACACGGTGAATGGAATAGTAACTACGTTAGACAAGGCTTAGGCTTAGGCTTAGATTATGCTTAACCTTAGGCGTAATAGTGTTTTAATAAAATTTAATTATCTTCAATATCGAAAAACATGAATACATTGTGATCGAAAAAACCCAGTGAGCCTGACCTCGGGCGGCTTCTGCTCCTCCTCCTTCTTCTCCGGCTCCGCCTCGGCCTTCTTCTCCTCCTTCTTCTCAGCCTCCTTCTTCTCGGGCTCCTTCTTCTCCTCCTCTTTCTTCTCCTCCTCCTTTTTCTCCTCCTTCTTCTCCTCTTCTTTCTTCTCTTCCTCCTTTTTCTCCTCCTCCTTTTTCTCTTCCTCCTTCTTCTCGGGCGGTGGTCCGGGAGCGGGGGCCATTTTGCCTGTAAGTTGGTTTTAAAGGTGCTGGGACAGCTGGGATTTTTCAAATGCTAATTTTGACTTTCCAGTTCCTTTAAAACGCGTTTTAGAGCTCTAAAAACGTTGAAACTCCTCTCACTTTGCCCAAAAACGACCGCTTTCTTGACGGTGGTCGTCTTCGGCGGCGGCGGGGGCTAAAGTCGATGATCTTAAAGGCCACTGAGCACGACTACCTTCTTCTTGGCGCATCCGAGCAGCGGGATGAGGAGCACGAGCCCGAGCAGCGCCCACATTTTGCAGCGGTCGCCGGGTAGAAATGAAATTCTCACTCCACGCCGGCGAATCCGGAATTGGTTATGCAAATTTCGGATCTAAATTGGGTTCCAGATTTTTGGATCTTTCGCATTATCGGGGGGGGTAATTTTTTCCGCTTGAACCAGTTGTTAAGTGTAAATACAGGGGGGTCTGAGAGTGGTTTCTACAGAATTTTTTATGCCACTTTTAAATGTCAAAACCTTTTGTAAGAAAATACAAAAAAATTAAATTTCTGTCTATTTTAATTGTGCGTTTTAATTTGATGAAAATTATTTGGTCGATATTTCATTTTGTCGAAATATCACTTTCCCGAAATTTCATTTTGTCGAAATCTCAATGCTTTTCGCCTCTATTATTTATCTCAAATTTCAAAATTGAAATTCCAGCGCATTAAAATTTCGACAAGATGAGATGTCGGCAAATTTTTCGACAAAATGATAGCAAATTCATAAAAGCAATATTTTCATTTTTAGCTAAGTAATAATTTTAAATGCCACTTCCAGAGCGATCTCCTCGACGGTCCGCCTATCCGTCTCGCGCCTCCGTATCCTCTTCATCGCGCTGATCATCGTCGGCGGCGCGGCCACGGCCACCGTTGTTTGCGTCATTGCCGGAATTGTGTTATATTTGATGCGCATTATATAAATAAAACTAACGTTTTATTCTACATATATTAGAATTTACAAAATGGTTTCTGATTTGAGCACCGCAGATTTCTGAATTTCCGTTTTAAAGTTGTCGAAAGTTAGTTTTCTTTCTCCATTTTGCTATTTTAAAACGCAGAGGTGTTTCTAAACTTTTTTTTACTATACTTAAACGTACAAATGTTACAAATTTTGCTTCGAAAATACGAAATGTAGATTTTTCGAACAAAAATCGCCGATTTTTTACCAAAATTTCGTTTTGTAACGTTTTTAGATAGTTTTTCCACTTACAATGTAGTTCAATATTGCTAAAGCAGTATTAAAACACTTATGATCAATTTATTTTCGAAAATTCTTGCCTTTTTTTGTAAAAAATCAACGAAAAATGGCCAAAATTCTATTTCCAAAAATGGTTCAAAAGTTTTTTGTAACTTTCTAGCAATCAAAACGACCAAAAAACATTATCAAAATATACTATTTTTTGCTAACAAGTAATTTTCATAATGTCGAAATTCAGAATGCAGCATTTTTGCTTTGGATTCGGGGTTTTTCGGGAAAATTAGCTGATTTAAATTTCGGCATTCTGAAATTTCGATATTTTGAAATGTGACGTTCTGATTATCGACATTCTGAATTTCGAAATTATGAAGTTTCGATATTATAGACTTTGACATTTTGAAAGCAACCCACCAAGCTGAGTGGAATCGAGGCTAAACCATGGGCTTTGTCCCCTCCCGCGCTGCCGCTTCTACGATCGTCCCGGGCCACACACGTTGACAGCCGGGGGCCAATGGCCCAATTTGGCCCCTCTACCCGCTCTGCCAAAGAGACAATATGCCGATTAATGGGTGTCCCCCGTTGTGTTGCGCGAGACCACCCACGAGGCTGCGCTTAATTACCCCTACCTCCCCCCGGTTTGACAGTTTTTTTACGGCGAATTGTCCGGAATTGTCGTCCCGCCCTCAGGGGCCACCCGCAAATCCATATGTCATCCCGGGGAAACGGGCAGATCCGTTTATCCCGGAAACTGGACTAATCGCTGCGTTTTGCGCTCTAGAATTACACTATAATCGTCTGGAATTAACTACCGCCAAGTTACTGCCGATTTTTCGACTAATGGATGAAGGCAAGAAGTTTATTCTGGCTTTTTACGACCGTTACATAGCAAAATTACGTTTAAAACCAAGATTTTCGAAGCAAATAAACCTATTAAAACGCCGGTTCTTTCGCGTTATGGGGGGGCAACTTTTTCGTAGCCTAATTTTTATATATAAATCCTGGAAGGGTTTCTAGATGGTTCTTTAATGTTCCTCAACGTGAAAACTTTACAAATTCTTCCGATTCTGGCCAAAATGTCGGGTTTTAAAGTTTCGAGAAAGTTTTTTCGGGGTTAGCGGGCGTAGCCCGCTAATTCTCATTGAATCGAGTTATATTTACCAAAAACACTATTCAAACACTTCCTAAAACCGGTCGCACGGTCGCTTTGTCGTCCTATCCATTTCAGGGTCAAGCCAAGAAAAAAACTAAATCTTTCAGCGCGAATCCTCGATCTCGTCGCTACCGAGCTGCGTCATATTTGCGACGAGTTTGATCGAGAATTCTGGGGTCGCCAGAAGCGAACACGTACCTATAACCCGTATGACGCAACATTTTACCTTTCTTTTTGTAAATACATCTATGCCCTATTTTCCGGCCCGGATTTGCTACATAATTTGATATGACGAACCCCTAGCCCTCCGATGACCAGTGCCATTGTCTTACCCGGTATCTAAAGCAATTTTATCGATCAATATTTTGCGATTATAAACCTGAAACGTTGATAAAGTTTTCAAATTTTGGCCTCGAGTAATAAGCTCGCATGTACGATTGTCGAAAGGCCAGGGAAAGAGCCTGCGCATTGGAGCGACGCGTAGTCAAAAACTGGCCGCGGTGCGATTTCCGAAAAAGTATTATCCTTTCGGAACCCGATGTCGGAACAGGTAGTTATAAAATCTCTTTAATTCGTTGTTGATTCGTGTATTATTCGAAATTCCAGTAAAATTGAGTTTTTAGGACCGCCGCGAGTACCAGGCCCTCGTCGATGCCCTGCGCGAGCAAACGGCCAAGGTCAACGAGTGGAAGGCGGCGAATACGTTAGTTTTAGCACATTTCACGGTTTGCTTGCTTGTTCGCCCATCTAAAAACAGTCTCTAGTTGCTTTCTTGGCTTGATTTACCTTTATGGTCCTCGCCCGAAAAGTGTTTTTTCGGGTCGGAATCGATCTAGAAATGATCAAAATGTAGTTTTCCGTGAAAAAAATGCGCCGGAAAGAAGTTTTTGAGGGCTAAAAATACCTTTTTTGTTAAAAGTCGGGGACCATAAAAGGGGGTACGGGGGTATGTCGTTTATGGTCCTCGGCTAAAATCCAGTTTTTCTCGTCGGAAACAATCCAGAAATGTTCAAAATGTCATATTCAGTGAAAAAAATGCGCCGGAAAGAAGTTTTTGAGGGCTAAAAAGACCTTTTTTTGCTAAAATTCGGGGACCATAAAAGGGGGTACGGGGGTATGTCGTTTATGGTCCTCGGCTAAAATCCAGTTTTTCTCGTCGGAAACAATCCAGAAATGTTCAAAATATCGTTTGCAGTTCAAAAAAAGCGCCGGAAAGACCTTTTTAGCTGCAAAAATTATTTTGGTACAAAAATTCATTCAGCCCAGTTTTAGCCTAAAAATAAGGCTTCGTGCCACCGGGGGCCTAGTCGCTTCGGATGGGTGCGAGCTCGTACAGGGTTTCGAAATGGGGCGCCAAGGCCGGCGAAGCGGCCGGGGGCGCCCCATTTCGGAAGAGGGAGCGGCAGCCCATCCGAAGCGACGGCCCGCCTTGCCTGACAATGCTAGTGCCGCACCTTGTTCAGAAGTCTTAGGCGACCACGAACATCTTTCCGGCACTTTTTTTCGAAGTATTATGAATTTCCAACAATTATCTATTGATTCGGTAAAAGACAAAACACTTTTCAGGTGGGGACCATAAACGACATACCCCCGTACCCCTTTTATGGTCCTCGAATTTTCAGCAAAATAAGTCGTTTTAGTGATTAAATCCTTCTTTCCGGCGCATTTTTTTCACTGAATATGACATTTTGAACATTTCTGGATTGTTTCCGACAAGAAAAACTGGATTTTAGCCGAGGACCATAAACGACATACCCCCGTACCCCCTTTTATGGTCCCCGAATTTTAGCAAAAAAGGTCTTTTTAGCCCTCAAAAACTTCTTTCCGGCGCATTTTTTTCACTGAAAACTACATTTTGATCATTTCTAGATCGATTCCGACCCGAAAAAACACTTTTCGGGCGAGGACCATAAAGGTAAATTTTCCCGCTTTCTTCCCTCTCTGTTTTCTCTCTACATTACTATGCTCGGTTATATCGGAAAATCGATAGATTTCGGACATTTTTACTTTCTAGGGAATTTGTTGTTGCAGTTAAAGTATTTTTTTGAAACAACGTTATTAAAACAGTTCCTAGTGCATCTCTGGACTGATAACGGATTCTTTCGCATTGTCGGGATGCGATAAATTTTTTCCTAGGATTTTTTTTTCTAATACAAATAGCGGAACTGTTTTTTTTTGCTATTCCTAAATGTAAAAGCTTTCTAAAATAAGAAAATCTCGTTTTTTCGACCAAAATTTCGATTTTCTGAAAAAATGTTAGGTTTTAGATAGGTTTTCTATTGAAATATAGTTCTATTTTCGTAAAAACATGATAATATTACTTCATATTATGTTGCTAGGCATTTCTAGACTTGTACAAAAAAAATAGCGCGCCCTAATTGCCCCCAATTTCAGGAGACAAGCGGGCACGCAGGCCTACAATGACTATGTGCAGAATGTGACCAACTGGGAGCGCGGGGTGCGTGGATTTATCGGTTTCGAAAATGATTTTTAGATTCGCGAGAAAATCGCCGTGCTAGCCGCCAAGATTGGGCTCAATGCGCCGGCGGCCGGGCCCGCGGGACCCGAATCGATTCTTGGTATGGAGGTTTTAAAAATTTGAATATGTGCATTTTTTCAGGCGATCTTCTGGGCCGCGTCGACGAGATCCAGTTCATCATGGCGGTGATGCGGCTGGCGAATCAGGACAAGACATTTCTCCACTCCATGCTTTCCGCTTATAAACGGCTGGATGGTCAGTAGGGTTTTTTTAACGTTTTTGGGACTAAATGTGCCCAAAAAGGAAAAATTTGTGGAACTTGAGCATCAAATGCCAGGCAGTGCTTTTTATATTGGTTTTTTTTTGTGAAAATGTCAATGGGGTTCTTTCGCATGCGGTGCGGTGCGTGCGGCGATCTTCACAAATTTTTGTTAGAAATAGAAAACATAGCTTTTTTAACGAAAAATGGTCGTTTTTGACCAGAATTGCGATTTTTGAACACGTGAAAAAGTTTTTAGATAGATTTCTGGTTCAAATATAGTTTTATTTTACTAAAAAAACGATTAAAACACGTGCTTGTTTTTAAGGCACTCGGCATTTCCAGACTTGCACAAAAAATTTCGCCCCCGCCCGATCTTGCGAAAGAACCCTCAATGGAAATTTGAAGTGAAATACATACTTGAAAATCGTTTTTAAAAGCTAAAAAATATCTGAAAACCCTTGAATCTTTTTTATTTGAACTTAAAAAGTTTTGCGAGTCAAGTTTCAAAAAACCTAGATCTGTAACGTAAAACTTAGGCGGTTTTTATCAATTTGGCGAATGACTTAAATTTTGGAATTTAAAATTTTTGGCACATAACTTTAATTTTGTAATTTTAACTTTACAGGTGGCGGCGCGATGAGCTACGGTTCCCCAGCACCCGTCGCCTTACACTACGCCATTCCCCAGCCCGGTAAGTTTTGATTTGGTTTTACGTATGTAAGCCATTTCCAGGCGCCTCTGGATTAGCATTCGCCCCGCCAAGCGTCCCCGCCTCATTTCTCCCCGCACCGAGCGCCCCGCCCGCCAAACCGCCTACGGTATCTTTTCCACTCTTTTCACACACTTGCTTCTGGTTGTTCAGTATACTGGCGGGGAGAATGTTGAGATTTGGTAGAGCCGGCAGCCCCCCCTCACTGACTGTTTTTATGCCCAAAACATGGTGAGTAGCTTTTTTGGAGAATTTAACGATAAAAATTAATATTAAAGTTAGATTTTTAGAGGCTGCCGGTTTTATTTAGAGTATTTAGTTTATTTTGATTTTTTGATCGTAGCGTAACTAGCAGAGATTCTTAGGAAATTTAGAAGTTAGCGGAAATTTTAATTGTTTTAAGGCTAGGCGGCTCGATTTTATCTTTTAGTTTTATCTGTGGTTTGTGTAGTGATTTTTAAGGGTTTGATAGGTTAGTCAAAATAAATTTGGTAAGTTTTACGGGTTTTTTTTGTAGTAGGGTAGGCTAGCAAAGATTTGTAGGGAATTTAGGAGTTATTAGAAAAATTGCTTTTTAAATTATTTCCATGTTTTTGATCGTAGGGTAACGAGCCGAGTTTTCTAGGGAATCTAGTAGTCATTGGAAGATGCTTTTAATTTTTTTTGTGGTCCTGTCGTTCATGGGGTGAACAACCGCGATTTTTAGGGAATCTAAAAATTAACGAAAAATTTTATAGACCGAAATTAATCACCTTTTTGCAGCTAATCTCGCAAAGCGTATCCGGGTCGTCGTCCCGCTACCGTGCCCCATCGCCCGTCTCAGACTACAAATCCCTCAATCTCCCGTTTCAAGACTTTAGCGTCAATTAGATTTTTGTGTGCTTCGATTAATCCCCCCTCTTTCAATGTTGAAATGCCCCCAGCCATTCGACGGGTCCTCTCGATTGCGATCTTTCTCTTTATTCGGTGTTGAATAAATGATAGCATTATCATGGCTCGGAGCTGATTTTTGACATTCCCAATTGCATAGTATCGAGTTTAGGAGCAGGAACTTTTTAGGGCAGAAGACTTGGCACGATGATCTTTGCTATGCTAACCTGGCTACTTTTCTGGCTAGATTCCCCCAGAATCTCTGCCAGCACACCCGAAAACCATGCTGTCTCGCGCTAACCATGCGTTTCCGCTTATCATTTTTGTCGCACGCACGGTGGGGGGCCGACTCGCTGATATAGCGTTGTATTTTGAACTTTCCCTGTCTATTTGTCTATTTGAGTTACCGGGGCTTTTAACTGTTTAGCGAATTTTTTGTTTTCTTTAGTCGTAAAATCTGCCCAAGGTTTGATTTTTTGTGGCAGCAACATGATTAAGTTTGTTCCAATTTTTTTCGATTTTCATAATATAAGTAAAGGAAGTGTTTTTCCGATTACTAAGCGGAAAAACTTGGCAAATTGCTTGAGAAAAATAAAAAAGCTCGATTTCCGATCAAAAATGGCCGATTTTCAATAGCGATTTCATTAAAAAAATTTATAGTTTTGGTATGTTTTCCCAATGAAAACCTAGTTAAAGTTTACTAATGCAAATACCTTTTGTTCAGCCCATTGACGGCGTTAATTATACCTTGTCTGCTGCGCGTTTTGAGCCAGCCGTCTCGGGACCAGAGTACGGACAATGTTCGTTCTTTTCGTTCCTCTAGTGACGTGATCCGGGGGCTAGCGGCGCCCGGGCATTTTTGGCGAATTCTGCAGCAGAGATGGCCTTGAATTGTGGCCGAGACCTTTTTCCAATTTTTGCACAGTTTCCGCGTTAAAGATTCGGTACTAGACTGTTAGCAGGGGGTATTTGAAAAGGAAAATTTTGACTTTTCAAGTCGGTTTTCATAAATTTTAACCAACAATGCACACTTTCCCAAAATTTTGTGAATTTTTTATTTTAAATACTGTGTAAAATTCTATAAAATGGCTTATATTTTGTTGTAGGACCGTAAAGGAAAACACTAGTTCGCCCCTGCTAATAGTCCAGTACCAAATTTTAATGTTTGCACCACGTTTCTTATCGCTTAATTCTGGTAATTTTTAGTGGGAATGATGCCGTCATTACTCCAATGGATCTGGGATCAGCAGCACCTACAAGATACGCTCGATATTTCGGCCTGGGTGATGGTTGCCGCGGGTATCGTCACATGCACGGCCCTACAGCTAGGGATCACCGCCGGATATGGACGGTATGCCGTCGAGTCATCGGTATGTTCAAAAATATTCCAATTATCGGTCTCTAAATTGCAGTAACCTAGATTTTCGACGAAAATTTCGTATTTTTGGACATTTTGAAGTCTGGACTTTGTAGTTTGGGCTAAAAACAATATTAAAATTCTTGCTATTACGTTACTAGGCATCTTTCAGGATTCTAATTCCCCATTTTCAGCTCTCAATCCCTGGGCGATGGGCATGGTTCCTACAAGAGGCCCCCTCCTTCTTCATCAGCGCCTACTTTCTATTCAGCTGCCAAACTACGACGAGCCGCTTGATCCTGGGCCTTTTTGTTGGCCACTATTTTGTGAGGTATCTCATTTAATTTTCATTAACAATATAATCTGCCCAATTCCAGGACATTCCTCTTCCCGCTGTGGCTGAAATCGTCGAAGCCGACGCCGTTCTACATTTTCATGTCGGCGTTTTGTTTCTGCGCCTGGAACGGGTAGTGATATAAAAATGTAAAATTTTTCGTTTCCAGCTTCATGCAAGGCGCCTACCACGCTCGGGTCATCGACTACGAGGCAAACCACCTCTTCAAGCCGGTCAGCCTGGCGGGCGTCGCCCTGTTCTTCGTCGGATTCGCCATCAACCAACACTCCGATCACATTTTGAGGAACCTCCGGCAGCCTGGCGAGACGGTTTACAAGATTCCCAGAGGTAGCACAATTTTATGAAGTAAGCAGTAAAGATCGATAGGAAATCGAAAAAACAATAAAAGGAAATTTACAAATCCTCCATTCTCAGGCGGCCTTTTCGACTACGTCTCAGGCGCAAACTATTTTGGTGAAATCGTCGAATGGTGCGGTTTCGCGCTGGCCGCTGGGACATTGCCCGCCTACGCATTCGCCCTGTTCACAGCCGCCAACATTGGGCCGAGGGCGCTGCAGCATCACAGGTGAAAGCGAGATATCTGCCTGCGCATCCCAAATATTTTTAGATGGTACTTGCAGAAGTTTGACAACTACCCAAAAGAACGAGCCGCCATCATTCCGTTCTTACTTTGACGACTGGAATAAACTCCCAATTTTCACTTGATGATACAGAGAAATAACCTAATTTAGAAATTACCGTAGCTCAGGGATCCCGAAATTTCGCTACCACCTATACCGGATACCGCGCTGCTAACTGCAAGTAGCTCAAATAAATAACCCCAATTTTTTACAGCATAATATATCTGGGTAAGGTACCGTGATCCGCTGCAGTAGGCCCCTACCGTACGGTATTTCATTAAATTCCGTACTAAGAAAAGTCACGTATCGGGGAAGCAGCGATCAAAAAGTAAACCGAACAACGGCTGAAATTCAAAAAGCCCCGGGATGAAAATTTGACACTCATCTACAACCAGGCAAGTTCAAAAATTCTGAAGACCCACGGCAACCTTGTCAATACAACTTGGATCATGTAGGAAATGTTTATTTATTTACGGAGTCTGTCGAGTATCCAACAATTAATCAATTTGCAACAACGTGTAAATAATGCAATTAACTGGTCAATCGAGTTATTCGGCCAGTCGCTGATAAACTTCCAGCTCAACATCGCTCAGCTTCTTGAATTTCTTCGAAAGCTTCTTGATGCGCTTCTCAGCTTCCAACTCGAGATACCTCAAGGAAAAGTGAATGGGGAAATCAGGGCACTTACTGTTCGCGATAACCATGGCAAAAGGCGGCGAATGGCGTCTCAAACAGTGGCTTAGGTTTCGGGGATGACTTTTTCTTCACAGGGGTGCCCTAGAAAAAGGATGAATTTCCCTCCAAAATGGAAAAGCACCTTTGGTCCCTCCTTTTTGTCGGCCTTTTCGTATTTTGACAACGTCTTCTGGATGAATTCGAGTTGGTCCTTGCTGAGGTCGTGGTGAAGACGGCGGAACTCCTTCACTTCTTCGACGTACCTGAAAGAGTGATTTTCGGTAAGAGCTATCAATAACTACTTCGATTTGGCGGCAAGTACTTCTGAGGCTGCAGCATCTCGACCGGCCGAATCGCTATTCATTGCAGCAGTAATCTACACCACTCAATGCTTCAGAATAAAAGTGCAAACTCACACTCTGTGACGCACCAAACGCAACCTTGATCCCTTTGTTCTTAGCGTATGTGTTCACGAGACTCAGCGGTGGCTTTGGCCAATCGGGATACTGGCGGACAGTTTCACCCCTAAAAGCTTTCAGTCATCGAAAAATATAAATTACTTTTGCATGTAGTAATGAAGGACGTCGCAACAGTGACCGATCGAAATGTTAGAGTGTCGAAGAGCAACGCGCAAGTAGTGATCCATGCATTTCGCCCATTTTCTAGGCAATTTGTATTGGCCAGCAAAATAAAAAAGTTACTCCGGATCGTCGATTCCCTTTTGTGTCTTGAAATATTTGGCAGCAACCTTCTTGAAGTGTTTGGCTGTGTGTGTTCCCTTCTTCGTCGTCTTGATGAATTCGAACATCGGCTGGAAAAGGGTAACTTCGCGCTTTCTTTTCCATTTCACTTTCAAAAATCAATACCTGCAAATGCTGCTGCAGGTAAGATATTGGTACCAAGTCCCCGTCGAATTCGGTTGGCCCATGGTCCGAATCGGCTTGACCCTGGCTGCCAGCGTCTCCGTCATCCGAATTTTCGTCTTTCAACTTCTAGAATGAAACATGACCAATAGGAAGACAAAACATACCTTGGAAGCAGGAGCTGGGAAGTAATCGTTAATCTTGCGGACCTTTTTCGGGCTCAAAGTCGAAGACATCCTGCAAAGAAGGGTAATTTCCAGGAGGCCGCGGGTAGCATAGAATATGGGAAAAGTAGAACAATTAATATTCAACGATAAACGTTGAAAATACTGAATCCGGCAATTTGCACCACGCGAGGAAAGTGAAGCAGCGCGCGGGAGTTTTTCAAATAACCGAAAAACTTTAAGTTACCTGAAAGCATCAATTAAAAAGCCGTCAGGCCAACAAAAATAAGATATTTTCGCATACACTCAAAAGAGATTGATCTGGCGATTCAAAAAAAGCAGTAAAAAAGTACATTGTGTACCATCGAAAACTGCTGAAAAGACGAAAGTCCCTCCGAGCGGGCTTACGGTATTCCAAGGCGCTACACTTGACGCTATGGTCCTGGAGCGTAAGACAAGGGTGCAGGCGGAAATCGTAGCCGATCGGAAACTGTGGTCGCAATTAAAAAATCCAAAAATCGTGCTTTCCAAAAACTAGCGTGTGTTTTTCTTTCAATTGCAAAACTCAAACTCTTTAGCAAAAAGCGTCTCGTTAAAAAAACGGGTTTCTCTGTTCGAAAAGGAGCTATTAAAGCGGCCAAAAAGCGTGTTTATGTTCGTGTACGAGTTTAACAATCGATTCGATGACAAGCTTTATTACACATTAAACCGGGGACAGCACGAATTTTCATTTTCTCTTTAATAGAACAGAAGAAATCGGGTGGGTAGTGGTGGAGCGGGGCGAGGGTAGTAGAGTGGAGGTAGTCGAAATTAAGGCACACTTCCGGTTGGCCATGATCCGGGATGAGGGGGCAAGGGGGGACGTCAGTTGGCCACTTCTCGAGTCTCTGAAATCGTGGAAAATCAGGAAAGATTGGAAAAATTCGATTAGCTAACCTAATTAGGGGTTTTTGGCGTTTTAGACCTCGTAATTTTCAAAATTGGCGGTGTTAGATCTCTAGAATTCCGAAATTTTCAGCGTAAAAACAACGCTACATGGCTTGGCGGGCGGGGGTCCCAGGTCGAGCACGAATCCGGTGCCGGCGTCAGCGGGACGGGCAAAATCTTCGGGTTTGGCCCCGGGCGGCAGGGTGGCCATCGTCTTCCGCCCTCCAGCTCCATCGCGTTCACCTTGCCCGCGGCGCCCCTCTGTAAGGTTTTTATAGTTTCAAAACGTTAAGCTGAAAACGTTAATGGTAAGCGTTTTTCGACGACCCACCACCGCCCTCCTCGTCCACCTTCGACATGGTGGTGTTGCCCGTGCTGGTGGTGGTGGTTGTCGTGGTTCCGCCGGCAGGTCTACAGGGTTGTAAAGGTCACTTTCCAAGGGTGAAAAGTCGGTTCTTTTTCAATCTGTGTTTTACGGATTCCTAAACCGAAAAATGTTACACAATTCTTCAAAGAAATGTCAAAAATACCGATTTTCGACCAAAACTGGGCGATTTTTGCCCAAAATTTCGACGTTTTGAAAAGTTTTTACTTCGGGGGCCCGAGGTCGAGGACAAAGTCGGTACCGGCACCCTCGGGGCGGGCAAAGTCTTCGGGTTTGGCGCCCGGGGGCAGCGTCGCGCAGTTCTGGCCCCCGTCCAGCTCCATCGCCTTCACCTTCGGCTCTGGAAATCGGGTTGAAATAGGTAAAATATACCGAAAAATCTTAAGCCATAAAATCTACCATTCGCGGCAGGAGCGGCAGGAGCAGCCGGAGCAGCCGGGGCGGCGGCGGGCTTCGGCGGTCCCAGGTCGAGCACGAAATCGGTTCCGGCGCCCTCGGGGCGCTGGAAGTCGGACGCCTTCATCCCGGGGGGCAACGACGCCATGTCCTTTCCGCCCGGCTTCTCGAACTAAAAAAGAAAGACTTGAGAGGAAAAGTAATGTTTTACGATTTTTTTTCTCGCGCTTGGACCGCGATCTTTGATAAGAGGTTCTTTTCCATTATCGGGGGGGGGGGGTTTATAGGGTCCAATTTCTCTAATGTAACCAGAGGACGTGTTTTAAAAGTGTTTTCTACTATTCCTAGGCTTAAAACGTTAGAATTTTTATTGAAAGACAAAAAATATCGATTTTACGACCAAACTTTCAATTTTTTGTAAGTTTTTACTGTAATTCCACTTGAAACATAGCGAAATTTAGTGAAAACTGAAGTTATAGTGCGCATCCCCCCGATAATGCAAAAGATCTCGATTCGGCCCCGTCTTACCACGGGCTCCTTGGGCACATCCGGGGCACGAGGGGGTGACGGTCATCCCGTCGGGCCCTCGCGGAACAACGGTCTGCCCATCAGGACCACGAGGCACCACCGTCTGTCCTTCTCGAACTTCCCGCGAGGCTTCGCCCTTGTTCTTCGACCTCTTCTTGCCTCCTGGCGACTTCGGGAGCTTGTGATACTTGGTCCTGCCGCCGCTATTCTCGTTGCTGCTCCCCTTTCGATTGGCCGACGTCTTTTTCACCTTCAGATTCGCGATGCCCCCAGTCATGATCCCGGTCAGGTTGCCTGCAAAATGGGAAAATTGAAGCAGCTTGACCCCAAGCGGGTTCTTTGCATTATCGGGGGGGGGCACCGCTTTTCTCCTAGGATCCAATTTTACAAATATAAATAGGAGAAGTGTTTCTGAACTTTTATTAGTGTTCCTAAACGTGAAAACTTTACAAAAATTTGCTAAAAAAGTACAAAAATATATTTTTTTCCACCAAAATGGGCCGATTTTTCACCAAAATATAGATATGAATCAAAACCAATGGTAGGGAGTTTAAAAAAAAGTGTTTTTAATTTTTTAAATGTTTAGAACATATTAAAACCGACCAAAAAACGTGGTGGTCCCGCCGGGAACCTGGGGCACCGATTCTAAAAAGTGGTAATTTAAGAGAAAATAATTTGCCAAACTTTTCTTAGCGACGGGCGTCCGCTCGCCTCCTCCGGCGGCTGAGCGCCGGCTCGCATCGCTGCCCCCACTGCTGCTGCTCGTCGACCTCGAGCGGGAGCGCGACCGAGACCGGGTGGGGACGGCCTGAAATATAATTTTTTTTTGCGTTTTTAATCAATTTAAAATCGAGTTTTAGGTATTTATTTAGCCAGATTAGTAAAAACCGAGAAAGAGCGAAGAAAAGAAGCAAAAATCACGCCAAACCCACTTGTTCCATGGCGTCGACGCGTCGGGCCGGGCGGGTAGATTCGAAATGAGCATCACCTCTGGATTTGGAGGGTTTCTGGAATGCGGAATTATGCAAATTACCGGAATTTCGGCCCAATTTGCATGATTTTTAGGGACGGTAATTTCCCTAGGTTTTCTCGTATATCTTGCGGTTTTCTTGGGGTGGAATTATCTTTGGCCGTTCGCGGAAGCTGCTCCAGAAGCTCCAGCTCCTTCTCATTCTCATCCTCCCGGCCCTCATCCACCACTCGACATGGAGCGTGTATTGGCAGGTAACAGGCAGTTTTTTGGAGCTTATGAGTTAGCGGGGGTCTGTCTCGCTCTTCCTCTGTCTCGCTCTCCCCCCCCTTTTCTCTCCCTTCTCTCTCTCTCTCTCTCTCTCTCTCTCTCTCTCTCCATTTCCTCTCTTTTTCAGGCGAAAAGTGGTACCACGGTCTGTTGCCCCGTGAGGACATCAAGATGATGTTGCGCAACAAGGGCGACTTCCTCGTCCGCACCACCGAGCCCGTCGCTGGCCAGCAGCGCGCCTTCGTCTTGTCGGTACGGCTTTCCAGGCTTCGCCGCGCCTTTAAAAGACTTTTTCTCAGCTTCTGGTGAAAACGCAAAAATCTGCAGCGGCGTGGGGTCGAACCCGGACGGTATGGCTCAAAAGCGAGAGCGTTACCGCTTGGCCACACTCTCCAAGGGTGGCCTAGTGGTTAGCGGTTGGGTCTCTTAATCTCAGGGCGCGAGTTCGAGTCCTCTCAGCGCAAAACTTTTTGCTTTTTCCCCAGATGGTCAATTGGCATCTATTAATGCATAAGTGCACCTTTTTCAGGTGATGTGGGACCCGTCGCGCGGCGAGGACCAGGGCATCAAGCACTTTGTCATCAAACAACACGAAGGAGGGAAGGTGTCGATCGAGAAGTTCACGTTCGACTCGATCTCGGCAATGGTCGACTACCATAAGAAGCAGAAAGAGAGCATCTCCAAGTCGAATGATGTCCTCCTCACCACCCCCATCAATCGACAGCCATGGGAGCTCAACCATGCCGATATCGAGTGCACCAAGAAGTTGGGAGAGGGCGCTTTTGGAGAAGTGCACAAGGGGAAGCTCAAGCTCAAGAACGGCAAGACGGTCGATGTCGCTGTAAAATTGGTGGGGCAATAACTTGTGCATTAACGGGGGAGACGGCTCTGGTGCGTTAGCGGGGGTCCCTATCAACACCATGCCGTTTAGGCGAAGCTCGAGGTGCTCACCAAGGAGCAGATCAAGGAGATTATGCGCGAGGCGCGGCTGATGCGCAACTTTGAGCACCCGCACGTCGTCAAGGTGGGCGGCTGAACTGCTTGAACTTGCCGAGCTCGTCAAACTTCTCGAAGCGTCGAGCTAATGTTGAACTTGTCGACGTCGTCGAGTTTTTCAGTTCTACGGCGTGGCCGCCGGCCAGGAGCCGCTGATGGTGGTGATGGAGCTGGCGAACCAGGGCGCCCTCGACTCGTTCCTCCAGAAAAAATGCCTGCCCCATGGAAAAGAAGCTCGAGATGATCGTTCAGGTATTGAGCATTGTACTGCTTGAAGTCGGTGCCCTGGTACCAACCGGTTTTGTACACAATTTTTCACGCATTGTCTCACTGAACTTGTTGCAGTCGGCGTGGGGCATCGAGTATCTGCACCTGAAGGAGGTGCTCCATCGTGATATCGCCGCCCGAAACTGTCTCTACGGTGACAACCGCGTGAAGATCTCCGACTTTGGGTTGACCCGTGAGGGTACCGTATACCAGATGGACCCCCATCGTCGTGTTCCCATTCGGTGAGGCCATTTAAAGGGGGGCAGGCTCGCAGAGGTTTTTAGGATTTGGAAAATTTTTTATACCGCTTCTTTTGCAGCTGGCTGGCCCCGGAGACGCTGCGCAACGCCATCTACACGCAGAAGACGGACGTGTTCGCCTACGGGATCATGTGCTGGGAGATTCTGAACAACGGCGTCGAGCCGTACCCCGGGATGACGGTGGCCGAGGTGAACGTCAAGGTGAAGGAGGGATACCGGATGGATCTGCCACCGGATATGCCGCCCGACGTCAAGCAGATTATCGAAGTGAAGTGCTGGTCCGACAACCCAAATGACCGCTTCACCATGAAGGACATCTCCAAGTTGGTGTTCAGCTACTTTCTACGCATGGCTCTTCCTCAACAATCTCTGCTAGCCTGCCCTCTCCTCTTCCTCAACAATCTCTGCTAGCCTGCCCTCTCCTCTTCCTCAACAATCTCTGCTAGCCTGCCCTCCCCTCTTCCTCAACAATCTCTGCTAGCCTGCCCTCTCCCTCTTCCTCAACAATCTCTGCTAGCCTGCCCTCTCCTCTTCCTCAACAATCTCTGCTAGCCTGCCCTCTCCTCTTCCTCAACAATCTCTGCTAGCCTGCCCTCTCCTCTTCCTCAACAATCTCTGCTAGCCTGCCCTCTCCTCTTCCTCAACAATCTCTGCTAGCCTGCCCTCTCCTTTTCCTCAACAATCTCTGCTAGCCTGCCCTCTCCTCTTCCTCAACAATCTCTGTTAGCCTGCCCTCTCCTCTTCCTCAACAATCTCTGCTAGCCTACCCCTCTCTTTTCCAGGGCCCTCGAGCGTATCCTGAAAGTGGACCGGAAGAAGATGGAGGAGCTGACGACGAAAAAGGGAAACAGGTACCCTGCCCACGTATATTGACAGTCATTACAGGCACGTTTAGCGGCGAGAATCGGACGCGGATCACACGCCACTAAACAACCCCCCGTTCACTCTCTATCTCTCGCTGTCCCTCTCGCTCTGTATCTCACTTGACCCCCTCTCTTTCTCTCGCCCCCTCCCTCTCCCCTCTATTTCTAGCCATTTCCCGTCACCTCCTCGCTGCTGTTGCTCATCTACTGCTGTCGCTGCCGGCCCCGCCCCACCCAAATCACCCGACAACCAAAAATGTGCTTAATTAGAAAATTCTGTGTTTCTCTGCTTTTTTGGCTAATAAATCAGTACTCGGTGTTGAGACAGGAAAAGTGACAGATTGACAAACAGATCCAACATATACAGAGGTAGAGAGAGAGAGCGAGAGAGAGAAAGAGAGAGAGAGAGAGACATACAGACCATCAAGATGTCTAGCGGAGTACGGTAATTAGGGTACTGTCATTGTGCCTTTAATGGGACGAGCAAGGAGCTGGCTAGATTAAAAGCGTTGCGGTCGCGTGACGGCGCTGCGAGAGAGAGAGAGAGAAAGAGAGAGAGGGAGAGAGAGCGAGAGAGAGAGAAAGAGAGAGAGAGGGCGAGAGAGGGCGAGCAAGAGCGAGAGAGAGCGAGAGAGAGCGAAAACTACTCCAACGCGCGTGATTCGGCGGAAATCGGTTTGCCCCCTCTTAAGCCGTGCTCTCGTCCCCTTTTCATCGCGTAATCGGCTGACTTGTCGCCAATTTTACATTAAAGGTCGTCCTAAGCACTGGCAAACACAGAATCTTTTTGAATGACTCCATATGGCTCAAAAAATAGATTTTGCACCAAAAATTTCGTTTTTCTGAATTAACTTTTCCGCAACTTTTTTGAAATTGCCTCCCTAATTGGCAAACTTTGCGAATTTTGCCTTGCTAGCCCCTTTAAAGGCTTTGATAAGGCAAATCCAGCTAGGATCCATAGCCAAAAATCCATAGATTTTGACTTGCGTGTCCCTTTAACACGAGCAAGAGGGCGAATGTGTGTTCACCCCTCCAGGTTCCGTATATCAGACCGGAGGCAAGAGAGGGGGGGGGGGGGAAGATGGGTTGACGCGAAGACCTTGAGAGGGGCGAGGGGAGGGGGAATTCCTTCCTATCTCTCTCCCTCCCTCCCTCTCTCTCTCTCTCTCTCTCTCTCTTTCTCTCTCTTCCCCCCATTCGACCCCAAACAGTCTCGCGAAAGGGGCAGCGAGGGGGGCCGCGAACGCGCAAGACTTCAGCCGGCTGCCCCCTTCCCTCAACGCTGTTTTAACTTTTTCTTTTGTTAATTCGCATAACTGTTATTTTTATGGTTAAAATCTTGCTTTGAATTTTATAAGGCTGCTAAATAATTTGTTTCTCTTTTTTTGGCCTTCCTGGGGCTGCAATTTCTATCAGTAGGCATCCATCGCAGCGTTTTTAACGATTTTTGTGTTTTTACATGGGTGCTGGAATTTGGATTAGCACTATTATTATTGGATAAATGAAAGGTAGATATAATTATTTTGAAAGCGACTAAAGATTCGTGAAAGCTACAAATATTTTTTGAATAACGTGTTTCAGCTTTTCAAAAGTTTTTGATTATCGGCTCCCAAATACTGTTGTTTTGATCTCATGGTGTAATTGGCTACAACAAAATGGGACAAATTATAAATAAAAAGCAATTCTCAGTTATTACTCGTTAAATTAATTAAATAAATACCTATCGGTGCGCATTTAAGCTTATTCGACAGCCTGTCGATCTAAAAGAATGGTTTTCTTATTATCCGCGTTTGAAAAAAATTTGTTTCGTTTTTCGAGGGTTCGACGCTTTAAATTCACTGATGATTTTGCGGCGTTTGTTTTTACAACATTTCCGAGCATTTTCTGGGGGTTTTCGCTTGATTCACCAGACAAGCAATTTTTCAACTAAGATGTTACACTTTTTAATACCTTTAATACTTTTGCTACTATTTAATACTTACTACTATTTAATACGTTTTATGTTTCTTTTTGTTCCAAAAGAATGAGAATAAGAAATAATCAACACCAACAAAAATTGCGTGCATCCTGTTTTTATTGCTTGTGTCGGAGCAAAAAGTGTTTCAAAATGATAGGATAATTTGTAATTTCTGCTTTTATGAATATTGCTTGGTAAATACCGAATGAAAATTTGCTTTCAATCCGGGCATAATTCAATTTTACAGTTAATCTCTAGACTTTTTTGGTATTGTATTTTTTTCCAAAATTCAGGAAAATCTTGAATATCCGCTTTGTTCATAAAAAAACATTCGTTTTTCCAGCATCAGAAATAGACACCAAATTAAAGAATTTGAGTGATAAAAAGGACTAAAAAACAGTTTTTTATTTGGAAAAAGTGTTTGAAAAACACTTTAATTTTTGTTGAGCGATAATTTTAATTTAGGTTATTAAATTAGTCGGTTGAGCAGTATGGTGTTAATGTGGTGCGGTGTGGTGGAAACGAGATGTTTCAAATTTCTATTAGGCCCCGCAATTTTCGATCTTGTTACTAAGCCCTCGAACAATCATCATAATTTCTGCTTGGCGTTTTGAAATTGGCATTTCTATTCTATAACTTGTTTTTGGTTATTTTTTAATGAAAAAAATTAATTAACCTATCATTTTATAACCAAAATTCAGTTTTGCCAATCAGTACAAGCAAAAAAAAACCAGAAAGGGCTTGGCTTAGGTTTAGGTTTCAGCTTAGGCTTAGGTTTAGCTTATGCTGGCTTAGCCATACTTAGGCTCAGTCTTAGCTTACTTAGCTGGCATCACCTGTAAAATGTGTTACAAATTTTTATCTTGATCCGTAATACTGATTTTTGTTAATGGGCTTTCCATATGCTAGCATTGAAATGACCGGAATTTCGCTTGTTTTGAAATCCGGTTTTCTGCTGCCCCTTTCCGTTCCTTTCTCTTTCCTTTTTGCAAGTGATTAATTCCACCCGTCTCCTTCCCCTGGTCGACCGGCTCGAAAATGATTATATTTGACACGAGAAGAAGAGAGAAACGGGGAATATTTCCACTTCTCAGCCGACACAAGACAGACACATTGTTGTGTGCTCACACTCATTCATTCATTCATTCATTCCGTCATTCCATCCATAATTATTGATTGAGAAAGCATCCCCCGGTATCGCTCTCTCCCTCTCCTCTCTCTCTCTCTCTCTCTCTCTTTCTATCTATCTCTCTCACTATCTCTCTCTCTATCTCTCTCTCACTCTATCACTCTCTCTCTCTCTCTCTCTCTCTCTCTCTCTCTCTCTCTCTCTCCTCTCTCCCTCTCTCTACTCCAGCGCCCTCTATTTGATGAAATCCAGGTTTAACTTTCATATGGAAATGTTTCGAAAAAATTACAAGTAAAAATTGGGCTCTCGCTGCCAATCCAATGCGTCCTCGCCGTGGAGCAATTTTTCCCGCGATTGTCCCAGTTTTGACAATTTGGACGCCACTTTTGCGAATCCTAGATAACACTCCAGCTACCGTAGCTCACCCAATCTTTTTCAGCAAAATTGGCTCGCCGGGCCCTTCGATCCGGTCGTCCGGAGGGGCGGTGGCCGGAGTGGGAAATGGGAGGACGATCCCGCTGAAGCTGAGGCTCGGCAAGAAGAGCGGCAGGTTGGTACGAGTTTTAAAAGGGGTGTGACAGCGTGTAAATCCGCAATAATTAGCTTCGGCTACCATTAGCAAACCTTCAAAAAACATGAAGCATAAAAATGGAAATATTTTAATATACGAAAGAAATTTTTTTTAAGCTCTAGATTAAACCAGCTTCCTTGAAAAAATAAAGCCGATCGGTGGTCGCAGGGTGGATTTTAGAGGGACCGAAAAGGAAAAACCATTTTTCGCCCCTGAAAAAAGACAATTCTAGGGAAAAACTGGATGACTGCACCAGAAAAAATGAGGTTCATGATTTTTAACCAATTAATTTCAATCGATTTTAAAGGGCCTGAAAAGCCAAAATTTGGCTTTCATTAATGCGAAAACCCTAAAAATTACATTAGCATTAAAACTGATCCTTTAATACCAGAATGATAACTTTTTTTTGCAGATACGACCTATCGCAAGACGTCTACGTGCTGGCCGTAAATATCGGGGATAAACCGGTGATACAATGTACGCTGAGTACGGAGAGCACGGCACGAGAATGTATCGAATATATACAACAGAAGAGAGGGCTGCAACAGGTCGGTTTTTATTGAAAAAGTAAATTTCCATAACTATTAATTTTTGATTTGGCCATTTCTCTAGTTTCCGAGTTGAAACATATTATTCTTTCAAGTAGGAAAATGCATTTTTCTAATCAATTCTAGTAAAAAATTTTAGGTAACTAACCAGGCATGTTTCATATAACAAAATAAAATAAACAGTAAAGAATTTTCACGAATTTTCTCGAACGCTATTCGAAACATATTAATTCTCTTGAATTTTTATTATTTTTTAATTAATCCTATTAAAAAAGGGCTGCAATAGGCGAATTTTAATACAAAATTAAATGAAAGAAATAATTAATTAGTCGCCGATGATTAGCCGTTTCATTAATTTTCAGAATTGCAAATTTTCTCCATTTTACCTCGAAACATTTGTTTTTGATTTTCCGGGAATTGTTGCGTTCCTTTTGAACCGCAAAAAAAGCCGCTGCAATAGGCCCGTTTTTATATGAAAATTAGCTTAAGTTGAAAATAATTAAGGAAGAGAAGGACCATTTTCCGTAATTAACTTTTTTCGGAACAAACCCCCAATTAATTTGACGTTTTCCAATCTTCGTCGAACATATTCTTTCTAGGAATTTATTTATTTTCTAATTAAGTTTAGCAAAAATATGGCGGCAACAAACACGTTTTTATTCGAAAATTTCATTAAATGGAAACATTGACCACGAACATGTATCCATTAATTTTTGAAGCAGCAAATTTCCTCCATTTCACGTCCAAACATTTTATTTCGTTTTGCCATTCAGATCCACATGTTCGGCCTGCGGTTCCAGATGCGCTCACAAGATCCGGATGAACGCATCTTTCGCTGGGTGGAAATGGATCGGCCGTTGAGGAAGCAGGTGAGGAAAAGTGTTACATTCAAACTGATTAATCACGGAAATGTTTTACGTTAATAAAAAAATCTTATAAAAAAGCTAGCAAAATATTTTTTAAGTGTTTGATAAATCCGAAGTATCTAGAAGTTTCAGCTCGAAAAATGGGGTTGCAAACCACGTCAAGTGCAGCTGGCAGTACTCTACCATACGCCCAACCCATTCATTCTCACCGACCCGATGGCTAGGTAGGAATTTTCGGGTTTGGGCAGGCTAGCAGAGAATGTTGAGGAAGAGGAGAGGGAAGGCTAGCAGAGATTGTTGAGGAAGAGGAGAGGGCAGGCTAGCAGAGATTGGTGAGGAAGAGGAGAGGGCAGGCTAGCAGAGATTGTTGAGGAAGAGGAGAGGGCAGGCTAGCAGAGATTGTTGAGGAAGAGGAGAGGGCAGGCTAGCAGAGATTGTTGAGGAAGAGGAGAGGGCAGGCTAGCAGAGATTGTTGAGGAAGAGGAGAGGGCAGGCTAGCAGAGATTGTTGAGGAAGAGGAGAGGGCAGGCTAGCAGAGATTGTTGAGGAAGAGGAGAGGGAAGGCTAGCAGAGATTGTTGAGGAAGAGGAGAGGGCAGGCTAGCAGAGATTGTTGAGGAAGAGGAGAGGGCAGGCTAGCAGAGATTGTTGAGGAAGAGGAGAGGGCAGGCTAGCAGAGATTGTTGAGGAAGAGGAGAGGGCAGGCTAGCAGAGATTGTTGAGGAAGAGGAGAGGGCAGGCTAGCAGAGATTGTTGAGGAAGAGGAGAGGGCAGGCTAGCAGAGATTGTTGAGGAAGAGGAGAGGGCAGGCTAGCAGAGATTGTTGAGGAAGAGGAGAGGGCAGGCTAGCAGACATTGTTGAAGAAGAGGAGAGGGCAGGCTAGCAGAGATCGTTAGCTATTCCGTTCCAGATCGTACTACTTTCTGCTAATGAAACTCGATGTCGTTGAGGGCCGACTGACAATGGATATGGAGAATTATATCGGTCTGGCCGCCCATAGTTTACAAGGTGATTTTTTAACGATTTTTTACCCTATAATACACATCCTCCAACCTAAAATACGCTAACAATGAGTTATTTAAAACGGGGCTTTTTCAGCGGAATACGGTGACTACGAGAAGGAATCGATGACGATCGACTATATGCAGACGATTCCGCTATTGCCGAAGGTATCGATATTTATTCACTTTTTAATGTTATAATTTCTCCCTCTCTCCCTTCTCTCTTTTTTTTTGGTTTTTTTTTAAGTCGGGGTTACGGAAAATCATAGCCGTCCTTTTTTAATTTGGGTTCTGTCTCAAGCCGATTAGGTCTAAACCAGAATTTCTAACTGATTGTTTTTATGAAACAACCTTTTTGAAATGCCGATAAGGAATCTGAGATTTTGAAAAACCCCGAATTTATATTATGGCATATCCACAGCGAAACATTATCCCTAACGAAAATTGCTTAGATTGTTGTTTCCACGAAAGATGATTTTTTACCACAAAGTTTTTGGGCAAAAATATTCGATTTTTTAGAATCAGAAACCTATTTTGCAAAAGTTTATAAGTTCTGAACAATATGTGTTTCGCCAATAGCGTTTTTTCGGTGGTAAAATCCTTCATTTTTCAGCAAATCTGCCGCAGCGCCACCATCCTCGAGAGCTTGCTAATGAAGGTCCTGCAGGTAACGTTATAAACTTGAGTATTAAATCTAGCTTATTAAATGCAAGCTACACCTTTCAAAGCCATAAAATTAAACTTTAAAGCTGTACGAAACGCTGCGCGGGATGTCCTGCGACAAGGCCGCGATTTTGTACATCGTCGGGGTGATCCATTGCGAAGGATATGGAGAGGAATACTTCAAAGCTAAGGTATCTCACGCGCTATCTCTCTCTCTCTCTCTCTCTCTCTCTCTTCCTCTCTCTCTCTCTCTCCTTATCTCTACTTCCTCAACAATCTCTGCTAGCCTGCCCTCTCTGCTAGCCTGCCCTCTCCCCTTCCTCAACAATCTCTGCTAGCCTGCCCTCTCCCCTTCCTCAACAATCTCTGCTAGCCTGCCCTCTCCTCTTCCTCAACAATCTCTGCTAGCCTGCCCCTCCTCTTCCCTCAACAATCCCTGCTAGCCTGCCCTCTCCTCTTCCTCAACAATCTCTGTAGCCTGCCCTCTCCCCTTCCTCAACACCGCTAGCCTGCCCCTCCTCTTCCTCAACAATCTCTAGCCTGCCCCCTCCTCTTCCTCAACAATCTCTGCTAGCCTGCCCTCTCCTCTTTCTCAACAATCTCTGCTAGACTGCCCTCTCCTCTTCCTCAACAATCTCTGCTAGCCTGCCCCCTCCTCTTCCTCAACAATCTCTGCTAGCCTGCCCTCTCCTCTTCCTCAACAATCTCTGCTAGCCTGCCCCCTCTTCCTCCAACAATCTCTTAGCCTGCCCCCTCCTCTTCCTCAACAATCTCTGCTAGCCTGCCCCTCCTCTTCCTCAACAATCTCTGCTAGCCTGCCCCCTCCTCTTCCTCAACAATCTCTGCTAGCCTGCCCTCTCCTCTTCCGCAACAATCTCTGCTAGCCTGCCCTCTCCTCTTCCTCAACAATCTCTGCTAGCCTGCCCTCCCTCTTCCTCAACAATCTCGTAGCCTGCCCTCTACTCTTCCCTCAACAATCTCCGCTAGCCTGCCCTCTACTCTTCCTCAACAATCTCTGTAGCCTGCCCCTCTCCTCTTCCTCAACAATCCCTGCTAGCCTGCCCTCTCCTCTTCCGCAACACCCTGCTAGCCTGCCCCCTCCCTCTTCCTCAACAATCTCTGCTAGCCTGCCCTCTCCTCTTCCTCAACAATCTCTGCTAGCCTGCCCCTACTCTTCCTCAACAATCTCTGCTAGCCTGCCCTCTCCTCTTCCTCAACAATCTCTGCTAGCCTGCCCCCTCCTCTTCCTCAACAATCTCTGCTAGCCTGCCCTCTCCTCTTCCTCAACAATCTCTGCTAGCCTGCCCTCTACTCTTCCTCAACAATCTCTGCTAGCCTGCCCTCTCCTCTTCCTCAACAATCTCTGCTAGCCTGCCCTCTCCTCTTCCGCAACAATCTCTGCTAGCCTGCCCCCTCCTCTTCCTCAACAATCTCTCCTAGCCTGCCCTCTCCCTCTTCCTCAACATCCCCTGCTAGCCTGCCCTCTACTCTTCCTCAACATCTCTGCTAGCCTGCCCTCTACTCTTCCTCAACAATCTCTGCTAGCCTGCCCCTCTCCTCTTCCTCAACAATCTTGCTAGCCTGCCCTCTCCTCTTCCTCAACAATCTCTGCTAGCCTGCCCTCCCCTCTTCCTCAACAATCTCTGCTAGCCTGCCCTCTCCTCTTCCTCAACAATCTCTGCTAGCCTGCCCTCTACTCTTCCTCAACAATCTCTGCTAGCCTGCCCTCTCCTCTTCCTCAACACCCTGCTAGCCTGCCCCCTCCTCTTCCTCAACAATCTCTGCTAGCCTGCCCTCTCCTCTTCCTCAACAATCTCTGCTAGCCTGCCCTCTCCTCTTCCTCAACAATCTCTGCTAGCCTGCCCTCTACTCTTCCTCAACAATCTCCGCTAGCCTGCCCTCTACTCTTCCTCAACAATCTCTGCTAGCCTGCCCTCTACTCTTCCTCAACAATCTCCGCAAGCTTGCCTTGTATTAATACCCCTCGAAATTGCCAAAAAATACGATTTTTAGGATGAAGATAGTTCCGAAGTGAAACTAGGCTATTCCCCAAAAGGGATCGTGGTTAAAGGTGAGAATTTTTACTTTAAGGAGGCTGGGACCCCTGAAAAATGGATTAAAAGTAGCTGCCAGAAACGGATAATTTTTTATAGTTTTCAATAATTTTGGTAAAAAGTTACTTGGTAAAATTCATTACCTAATGGCTGCAAGCAGGCCTGTTCCTTGGACACTTTTTAGAGGTTTTGAAGATTTTTGAAACACAGTTTTTCGAAGATCAAATGAAAAAATAGAAAAATTGACGTTAATTTAATCCGTGGAAAAATACGCTTTAAAAATAGTGGGTGAAACAAAATTCCATCAATGAATTTTAGTCTACGGAGCCCCGGTGAAATACGAATGGGAAAAAGTGAAGGGATTCGCCGCCCACAAACGCCATCTACAAATCAAAACCCGCGACCTGGTGGTGGAGTACAGCTTGGTAGGTTTTATTTTTGTATTTTAAATTTGTACCGATTGCGAGAAATTAACTAAAATCTAAATTTTTTGAGCGCTTTTTATTTTTGATGAAACACACATTTATTGCAAATTGTGTTAAAAATCGACAGTCCGAATTTGTGTTCTTTGGTTTTAAATGGATTTCGAAAAATCTTGTTTCCAGCTATAGTGATTTCTTTCCGTTCATTAGCGACTAAGAGGTTTTTGATTCTTTATTTTCTTAATTTAATTCAATTTAATTCCGGATCATTCGAAATTCTGTAAAAATGATGTATTGCAGATTTTATAAAATATGTTTCATTGCTCATAGTGTAATTGGTAGTTATTTTTAAGCTAATGCGAATCGTTGCTTCTTCCTCAACCACGGTTTTTTCTTCCAAATTTTGTTTGATCCTACACTTTATTTAAAATGCTTTTTTTTGGAAAACTTAGTTTCTTAGATATAGTTGATGATTTTGAACCAGTTTTAGAATTCGAGTTGAGTCATTCGTTATTTCAGGGTTTTTTTGTCTGAAAATCGTAATACCAATAGTTGAACGAATCACCAATTCTCCAAAGCTTTAGCTTTAATTTTTTTGAAACACATTTCTGCGGACAGCTTTTGCGCGATAATCACCACTGGATTGATTTTGTTGAATAAACCCGGTATGTACTTTTTTTAAGGAAGACGCCGAGTGGGCCCGGTATGTGTGTATGGTATTGGAATGGCAGCTACATTACGCAACGCATAAGGCACCTGAGGAAAGGGATGTCGAGAATGATATCACCGATTTGCAGGTATCGGGGACAGGCTAGCAGCGATTGTCGGGGAAACCGACATTTCCAAACGAGTCCATTATCATCCATTAATTACATGACTATTCTGCCAAACCAGAATTTAACTTGAAACATGAAAATTTTAGATGAGGTTTTTTCAAAGGAAATCTGTTCAATTTTAATTATTTTCTTTTATATGAGCATACATTTTTGAGCCCCATTTTATAACGCGCCTTGTAACGAAATTTAATGCATTTAAAAACCGTATTCCGGTTTATTCAAAACAAGTGTGAAGTTTGCAGGTATTGAATAGTGCTTATTTTTATCGATCTGTGCTTTTTACGAAACAAACAATTTTCCACGCTTGATATCCCTAATTTTTTACCTTTTTCAGCCAAAAAGCTCCCACCTCAACGCCTCACAAGTCGATTTGCTGCATGGTAAGTACCTTAGAAAATTGTATTATATTATTTATTAACCAGGGTTGAAAAGCCGCTTCGCGACTTTTCAACCCTGGCCCCGTCTGTTCTCATGATCTACTTCACTTTGCATAATTCTCGATTTCCGATGCCAAAAAATAAAAATCGCGCCTACTACCCCATTATATAGGCTGCCGTCACTTCCGGCGCATGCTAATTTTTTCCCTAACAAGAGGGTCCCCGATTTTTTAACAAAAACCTAAATTTAATGTCGAAAATAGGCAATTTTGGTAAATCTGATAAGCGTGCAGTCATCCCAGAGCCATTACGCACCTAATGACGTATCATACATACCTTAAAGTTCATCCCCTATCGAGATATCCTCCGGACACCCTGACGGAAGTTGCATGCAAAGTGGCACACACACACACACAAACACACAGACACTATTTTTTTATATATAGTAGGATGGCCTATATTAATGGAAAATCTTATCCCTGACGTGGTTGTGCTAAAAAACATAATAACCGGTTTTTAGCTGAATTAATCAAAAAAATTCGCGTTCGATTTTTAGTAGGTTTTCCATGCTACTAGTTTTCTATTGAGCCGAAACATTTTTTATTTGGCGAAATGAGCGGTTTTTCGGAATTATTAAAGTTGTTTTAAATGCTAAAATACGATATTTTTCTTATAAATAAATCAGATATATAACAACAAATCAAGATAGCAGCAGAATAATATTTCTTTAACGATTACCAAAACATTTTTTCGCAAATTTAGTCCCAAAATTTGCGATTGCCGATGCTATACGGAATATAATTCGGTGGCTTTAATACTCGCATAGATTTTCATGAAACATATTTTTCTACAATTTTTTTATTCATTCCTCTATATATACCTCTTTTAGGGAACTGATTAGGGTAAATTAAATTATGCTTCCAGCCCGCCGTGCCTCCAGCTCGATAAACATCCACTCGACTCATTCCTTCACAAACCCTCCTCTACCTCACTCACCAATGTACATTCCGTCAATCATCACGGTAAGTTGGTTTAAAAACGTAATTGGTTTTAAAAAAGCCTTATAAAAATGATTACAACTTATATAAGCATTATAAACTTAATGATAGGAAATATATTTAATTAAAATATATAAATATCGATACGGGATTTGCGCCCATTTGGCATAATCGCCACTTTTCAAATTTGACCAATTCGAAGGAGTGTCCCTGACTAAGTGAGGAGTGAAATCGCCAATCGAGTTTTTTTGTCGAAACATATTTTTAAAAAATGTGTTATTTCGAAAAGGCTTGCGTTATATGAAAAAATGTTTCTGATTAATTATCTACAAAGAATTATTAAGTAAGCCAGCTTATTTAATACAAGCTTTCGTATGATACTACCGCTTTCGAGAAAGCGCACTAGTAATTCGTAAGTTAATTTTTTAGATAAAAACCGTCCGATCCTGTCATCGGTCAGCTTCCGAGATCCGGTGACAGGTACGTATCGTGTCGTACTGTCAGAGTATTCAACGCAATATTGTTAATTTTTAATGAAACCTACGATTTCCTTTTCTTACTTCTGTTTCCGGAAAGTGTATTTTCCTAAATACCAGTAAAGGACATTGGAGCAAATTGTTTTGTGCCGGGCAAAAATCTAATTATTTTTTTAAGAGAAACATTTTTTGAAAGCTGGAAAAGAGATACCTCCGGATTTTGCAGCCTAAGATTCTGTAAAGATTTGGTCGCGACATGTAACGCGCTCGCAGCACGCACGTAGCGCGTTCAGAAAAACTAAAAATAATCAATATTTTCGATTTTTATGAAGAATGTACTTGTCAATTCCACACAAAAACCTAGCATTAATCAAACCGACTAGGTGCCTTTACCCGTTTTTACCTGAAACAAGGATTTCTATTTTGGAGTAAATTGGTTTGAGCGTACCCGTCCTTTTAACGCCATTTTTATAGCGGAAAACTGTGATTTGTAAAAATTTAAGAGGTCCTTGGAAGCTCATTTTTATGAAAAAAAAATCATGTTCTATAGAATTTTTAACGATATGGCAAACTGCCATTACTCTAATTATCAACAAACTGTTATTACTTTCCCTTCGAAACATGCATTTTCTAGTTCGTTGTATTTCCAGTATTTCCAGTATTTACTACCGCAAAATTTCAGCAAATTGTATATTTTTTAAACTGGTACTGATTTTCCAAATTTATTTTTCAGTTTCCGTAACACCCGAGCGGCCCCGCGCCGCCACGGCCGCTATTTTGCCCTCCCCGCTTTCTTCTACGTATTCGGTGAGTGTTTCTTTATTCGGGGTTAGCGGGCGGAGCCCGCTAACCCCTTTTGGTTTGAGGTACCCCCCCATACGACTCTTTTGGGGTCCTTTTCCGGATTTAAAAAAGAACCAAGCATCGGATCGCAAAACTGAATACACCATTGGAACCGGCGACACTTTTTGCATAATACAAGCTTTTAAAATTTCAAAAAAAAGTTAAATTTCGAATTTTAACAGCCGATTTAAATTGCGTTTCGAGGGGGGTCTGCGTTTGTATGTGGGTATGCACGCAAAACCTTTGTAGTCGTCAAAAAGTGCCTTCCCATGGTCCGTTTGGGCTGAAACTTTCCACATATATCGACTTTATGTAAATGAAGGTGAGGAAGAAGCGTTTTTTTCAAAATAGCTTTTTAAAAAATTTATATTTAATTTTTAAGTTTAAAAGCTAAATTGCGGTCAAAACAAGGGTTAGTGATGTCCGTTTGGGCTGAAATCTTGCTCAAATATGCACTAGACCATGCCGGAAAAAGTAAAGAAAAATTGCATCGAAAGAATGCTTCTTCTCTGAGATATTATAACTTTAAACCTTGGCCATACGGGGCCTCACCCTCCCCTTTGGCGGCCCCAGTCCCGAGCCAGGGCGGGCGGGTCTAGCATCCCCAAGACAGGCCTCCAGTCTCCCCGTTGGCCTAGTGGTTAGCACGCTGTACTAGGAAGACATAGCTCCCGAGTTCGGACCCCACCCGAAGCATGGTTTTTGCCGATTGGCCCCGGTGCATCCTTATGGTTTCTAGTTCCGTCACAAAGCGCCGCAGGCAAATTTTTTTGAAGTTTTGCGTACAAGGGTTCATCTGAATAAGTATTCCTTGGCTTATTTTGCGATCTTAACAATAAGATTGAGGCAAAAAGGGCTAAATTCTCTCTAAGGCTAAAAAGAGTCTTTTTAAAAAAAGGGCTTTTGGTTTTCGCAAAAAGAGAGGAATTCTCGTGGCAACAAAAAGTGCTAAATTCCTTTCAAACTCTTAAAAATGCCACAAAATGTGGGATCAACCAAAAGTTGCTGGCACCTTACTAAAATGGACAGATCCGGTTTCTAGCGGTTTCGGCTTGCAAATAATTTCTGTATTATGATCTATTTACACCTTCTTGAAATTAATTTGTGGACCTGACCTGTGATCCGGGATGGTACCGAGTTTATTAAGATTTTAAATAGCCAGCAACTTTTTGTTGTTCCCGCATTTTGTGGCATTTTTAAGAGTTTGAAAGACTCTTTGCTGCAAATTCCCCCTTTTATGAACCAAAACCCTTAAAAGACTCTTTTTAGCCTTAGAGAGATTTTAGCTATGATTTTATAGAAATTATTTGTTTCATGGTTTCCTTAGTTTTTGGTATGGTTAACTATTTTAATCCGTTCTTGGAATAGTGTTATATATCCTATTGCCTTACAAGGAGACGTTTTTTGGTGTGAATGGGGTTTTGAGACAAAACCAGGCCTATTTTGTGCAGAATTTTGCGCTGATTCCGAAACTGTTTTCCATTTCTACTAAATAGCTCGATTTAAAAAGTTAAGGCAATTTTAAGATCATTTTAGCCCAAATTTTCCATCTTTAAGGCCCATTATGTTGCTTTTCCCGGCTGATTTTCCAAAAATAAATATAGTCATCGTACTTGGAAAAAATTTTTCTATCTAATGAGCCATTTAACTCAAAATTGTTGGAAATCGAAAAAATTGACGATACTTGGTATGGACTGCGTTTTTTGTATGGGAGATGGTGAAAAACTGCCTATGTCTCACCCCTGTAAGTGATCATCGGTCGGCAGTAGCTCACTAATCAAATATACCATTCGAGTCAGAAAAAAATTCTCTACAAGATAGGCTACTTAACATAAATGTGAAAATTAAAACAAAAAAGTAGCACATCATGGCATATGGCTACTCTGCGCCTAAAAATCATCTTAAAATAGCTGTAACTTTTTAAATCGAGCTATTTAGCAAAAATCGAAAACATATTCCGAATCAGCGCAAAATTCTGCACAAAATAGGCCTGGTTTCGACCCAAAACTCCATTCACACTAAAAAACGTCTCCTTGTTAGAATAATACAGATTTCCTCTAAACTTTATTAAATTTTATTGAGGTTTTTTATTCAGTAGCCAGTTTTCCCAAGATAAACAGAAGAAGCGTTTCTTAATTTTTTTGGTTGCTATTCTTAAACGCAAAATCGTTACAAATTTTTATTAAAAAAAAGATATCGAGTTTTCGCCGGAAAATTCGGATTGACCTATTGGCTAAAACCTTTTTAGATAGTTTTCCCCTGGAAATAAGTCAAATTTTACGAAAAACGCTATTAAAATATGCACAATTATATTGCTAGGCATTTCTGGAGTTTACCAGAAAACACCCCCCGATAATGCAAAAGCACCGAATTAGCCGTTATTATTAATTTTTATCCCTCTAGAACAACACCGGCTCCCAAAGTCAGCTGATGCAAATGGCACCCCTTGGTATCCCGTCGAGCATACAGGAAATACCACAGGTATGCATTTTTTTGAGATAAATTTCTTCATAAAATTAACTGGCATTTTCAACATAATATTACAATCTTACTTGCAACATTCATTTTTAACAAAAACAGCTTGCTTTTTTCTAATTTGTGATCTTTCAAAATTCCAGACGAAGGTTGAAAAAGTGAGTCAGTACTTATTAATTAGTGCCTAGGCACTTAAGGTAATCATAATATTATTCAAAACATATAATTTTAATGCATAACTTGTTTGATCTTTATTAAAAACTAAACCGTTTCAAAATTCTTTACAGCCAATTTTTTTGGTTTTGGAGACAACTTTCAATGGCGTTTTCAAAGTCTATAAAAAGAGCCATTTTTAGGATGCGTTCCCCACGTGGCACCGAAATATCATCGAGGACCGGAATGCGGCTTATAAGTGAGTTTAATTGGGTTCGATGGTTAATAAGATGTGTTTTACAAAATAGCCTCTTGAATTCGATGTTTATCAGTCTAATTAAACGGTAGTTAAATTAAAATTAAATTAAAGATTAAACGGCTAAATAAGAACCTATCAATCGAAGCATCGTTTTTCTGTTCTGCTGTTGCCTTCAAATGACCGTCAAAAATTCCACTGCCCCTAAAATACCTAGCTTGCTACTAAATTTCGTCGAAACACATCTTTTTTGGAAAAAATCTAGCGATTATTTTTTTGCTTTTCTTTTTTCTCTTCTTGTTTCAAGCTTTTTTTAAAACATTAAACGTGGAACCTTTTTAACTTTTTAAAGCTTTAAGGTTTTGTCTTAAACTTCACCACCAGAATCGAGTTCCCAACGATTCTAGGGCGTACCTGCCAAACGCCGTCGAAATCGAGCCGCTGAAGCCGTTCGTGAGCGCGGTCCGGGCGAAGGACGGTGTCCAGAGGAAGGTGGGGAAATTACCTGGTGTAACCGGATGCTCTTGGCTTCAGTGCGCCTTTAAAAAAAGATAAAAACCTTTCGAAAATCGCCAATTTTTGCTGAGTTGCTGATTTGTTATTTTTTGGTAAATTTTTCTGATTTTTTATTTGCTTTAAAGAGCGATTAAAAGGGACAATTAAAAGATCATTAAGGTGAAAAGCCCGTGAAAAAAGCGTAACATTTTATTACATCCAGATCCTTGGCTCTACGCCAGAAATGCGGCAGCTCGGCACGAGAATGGAGGGCAACCACGAGCAGCTCCTCAAATTTATGATAGCCCAGGTAACCGGGCGATTATTTGAGCTTTCTAAATTTGTGTCAATTTAATTGATTTCATTAAGTTGTGTTTAGTTGAGCTCTGGAACCAAATAAAATTAGATCGAGCAAAATTTTTCGGATGAGCGTGATGCTTTGAAACTTAAATTTTCAACATATGAATGTGGTTTTTCCGGTAGTAAGGTTTAAAGGGACATCAAAATCCTTAAAAACGGACATATTAATTTTAACTTATTTATTTTATATTTTAAAACTTTTAATTCAGGACCCGCCCCGCCCCTCGTTCCAATCGACCCCAAATCTGATGGATGTCCGATTACAGCCCGGGATGGGAACGTTTATGGGAATGGTACGTAGCTGAAGGGAGAGAGAGGGAGAGAGAGGGAGAGAGAGAGAGAGAGAGAGAGAGCGAGAGTGAGAGAGAGAGCGAGAGTGAGAGAGAGAGAGAGAGGGAGAGAGAGCGAGAGTGAGAGAGACCGAACATCTTATTTCAGTGGATCCCTCCTGAACCTGCTCAAATCGCCCCGCAAACTCGACAATCCGGGAGCAGGGTGCGTTAATTTTACAATTGAACTACTCTGAATTGGTGAAAGATTAAAAGGCCGTTCGCGAGGGACCCGAAAAGGGCTTGGCACAGTTTTTTTCGACCCCATTTTTTTGATGTCATCGGAAAGAGCATGTTCGAATTAGTAGGGCTGCATAGTTTTGAAAGTTCAAAAAGTTAGTTTTTATGGTTTAAATGGGCCTAAAAGTTGCCGACCACGAAAAACTATCTTGGAAGTTACTGAACAGAATTGGCTAAAAATTTGGGAATATACCTATTTTGAGATTGGGATCATTTCTCTAATACATTGCGAAGCCTGAAAATGACTGGAACATGGTTAAATTGCGTACTAAAAACAGTTTTTCGGGTTTTGCGACTATGCGGGCGATCGAGCGCCACTCACACGTGGTAGAGGAAGATGCGCGACATTTTTCTGCGTCGAATGACGTGCCAATTATGCAGCGCTCGGTCGCCCGCATATCTTAAAAAACGCGATTTTTATGCCGAAAATGGCGATTTTTAGTCGAAATCTGGGGGTGGGTGGGGTGAGAGAGTGCGGCGAGCGCAGAGGGCAGGGACGGCTAGGGTGGTCAAGTCGGGGGCTCTGTCACAGCACCCGACTCGCTCCCCCAGGGCTGCTGTCTGCCTGTCTGGGCCCTCCACGTCGCCCGCACTCTCTCGCCTGTTCGGCCTCCGAAAACCCGCAAAAATCGCCATTTTCGGCATAAAAATCGCGTTTTTTAAGATATGCGGGCGACCGAGCGCCGCATAATTGGCACGTCATTCGACGCAGAAAAATGTCGCGCATCTTCCTCTACCACGTGTGAGTGGCGCTCGATCGCCCGCATAGTCGCAAAACCCGAAAAACTGTTTCTAGTACGCAATTTAACCATGTTCCAGTCATTTTCAGGCTTCGCAATGTATTAGAGAAATGATCCCAATCTCAAAATAGGTATATTCCCAAATTTTTAGCCAATTCTGTTCAGTAACTTCCAAGATAGTTTTTCGTGGTCGGCAACTTTTAGGCCCATTTAAACCATAAAAACTAACTTTTTGAACTTTCAAAACTATGCAGCCCTACTAATTCGAACATGCTCTTTCCGATGGCATCAAAAAAATGGGGTCGAAAAAACTGTGCCAGGCCATAATGGGGACAGGTCGGGTAGCTGGCGGACGGCCTTTTAAAGTGCACTTTTTCGAATTTAGCCTGTCTAGCCATTTCAAGCCCAAATTAAAGTTGCTAGTTTCGGGATTTGGTTACAATTTAAAGGACACATCGCGCCATAATTAAAAAAATGTTTCTGGGATGTAAACGGTTCTTAGATGAAAAAGTTTTTTGAAAAATATGGAAAACTCGTTGACCACGCTGATGTTTCAATTTATTGGGTCATTACTAAGGCCGAAAACTTTATAATTCGTCCAAGCCTTGCAGCGACTCTGCTAGCCCGCCCAGGCTGTAGCTAAACCGTTATTTTTTTATCCTACCTTATATAATTTGGTCGCGTATCTTTGTGTGTGTGTGTGTGTGGATGTCACTTTCGAGGCCCGATTTGAGGGCCTTCCCGTGCATAAAATGCCCTAATTCTCCGTCACCCGGGGGAATCGACCCTCCTCTTTCCGATGGCGCTTTCAGAATCTCGATAAAATACAAGTTTAGAAAGTTAAAGCCGGTTTTATTGATTTTTGGGGGTCCGGGAGGACTAATTTGCATAATGTGAAAAATTACAAATTTCCTCATTCTTGCCAGTTGCACTCGCGAGTTTGGTCGTCTCTTTGGAGCTGCCTCTTGATGCCTTTCCTTCCCCCGCCCCGGGCAGTCCTCTTGAGGCATAAAACGGGTGTTGACGCCTGCTGCCAAGCATTGCATGGTGTAGTGGTTAGCGCTTCGCCTTGCTAATCTAACCATCGGTGGTTCGATCCTCGGATATCTTAGTTGTTTTGCTTTTTGCTCGGAAAGTGAGTTTTGGAGTGGATTTCCGTGTCGGGACGTTATTATGAAATTAGTGACTCAGGCCGCAGCCTATAGAATCAAGCTAACTGCTCAAGCTAGCGCCGCAGGCTGTAGAACGAAGCTAGCCGCTCAAGCTAGCGCCGCAGGCTTTAGAACGAGGCCAGCCGCGCAAGCTAGCGCCGCAGGCTTTAGGACGAAGCCAGCCGCTCAAGCTAGCGCCGCAGGCTTTAGGACGAAACTAGCAGATCAAGCTAGCGCCGCAGGCTTTAAAACGAAGCCAGCCGCTCAAGCTAGCGCCGTAGGCTTTAGGACGAAGCTAGCAGATCAAGCTAGCGCCGCAGGCTTTAGAACGAAGCCAGCCGCTCAAGCTAGCGCCGCAGGCTTTAGGACGAAGCTAGCCGCTGAAGCTAGCGCCGCAGGCTTTAGAACGAAGCTAGCCGCTGAAGCTAGCGCCGCAGGCTTTAGAACGAAGCTAGCCGCTCAAGCTAGCGCCGCAGGCTTTAGAACGAAGCCAGCCGCTCAAGCTAGCGCCGCAGGCAAACCGCTCAAGCTTGGGCCGCGTGTAAATACAAAGAGGTTTGCATGGGAGAGGTTTGCATTTTAGGCAGGCTTTAGAACGAAGCTAGCCGCTCAAGCTAGCGCCGCAGGCTTTAGAAGGAAGCTAGCCGCTCAAGCTAGCGCCGCGGGCTTTAGAACGAAGCTAGCCGCTCAAGCTAGCGCCGCGGGCTTTAGAACGAAGCCAGCCGCTCATGCTGGCGCCGCAGGCTAACGAATAAAGCCAACCATTGAAGCTAGCGCCGCAGGCTAAAGAAGGAGGTAACCGCTCAAACTTGCGCCGCAGGCTTTATCGCGAAGCAAACCGCTCAAGCTTGGGCCGCGTGTAAATACAAAGAGGTTTGCATGGGAGAGGTTTGCATTTTTCTTTCTTCAGGGTAACTTTATGTGGAAGGGCGCTCGATTCATAGGGCCTAGACGGGGTCCAGCGGGGGAGAGTCGCGAAGCGGCTCCTCCCCCGCTGGTTTTCTATGAAATACTAGGGCACGCTGGCAGAGATTATTGAGGAAAAAATAAATTTTATGCTTTCTCAGCCTCGTCTGGCGACGGCCACTCGCGTACTCCCCCACCAAGACAGCAGCGAAACGCAGGCGACGATTGGTGGGCCTTTTTAATTTAAAGCTATTGAATTTAATTATTCTTAATTTTACATTAACTTTTTTAAATAGGATTAAATGTTCGATTATATTCACATACAGGGTGTCCCAATAAAAAAGGTCACGCTGGCATTTTGTCATTTCACATCCGATCGACTTGAAATTTTGCACAGAGGTGCGGAAGGGAATTCAAAATGTTCACAGAAACTTTCAGCCGGATCGGAACAGTAGTTTTCGAGTTATAGCAAAAATAAACTTTATTTTACGTTTTTAACCTGGATTTCGTCGGAATTGAGCTTTGGAATGTATGGCAAAAATGAAGCGCCGACCCTTTTTACCCCAGGAAATTTTTTATTTCGTAAAATTCGTTTTGGAAATTGGTTGTTTAAATCATTTTAACAAGGTGTTATCATCCCCGATGTTAAGAAGAATGAGGGATTTAGGGCCGAAATTTATGTTAATTGATGCAAAGTCCAAAAAGATAGCCGAAAAAATGAAGCAAAAGTGTTGAAACAACAGTATTTTGGTTATAACTCGAAAACTACTGTACCGATCGGGCTGAAAGTTTCTGTGAACATTTTAAATTCCCTTCCGCAGCTCTGTTCCAAATTTCAGATCGAACAGATTTGAAATGGCGAAATGCCAGCGTGACCTTTTTTATTGGGACACCCTGTATATCTAATTTTGACAAAAATATATGTAATTTTTTATCCCTGGCACTACGAAAGCCGACTATAACGCGGTCGAAAAAGGTGAGAATTGGATTTTTTTGAAACATTTAAAACGGTGAAAATGAATTTTGCAGAGGTCACAAATAGTGTTAGAGAATCCTATTTTGATATTTTTTAGAAGGTATTCGCGCATTAAAAATACCTGTCGGCTGCTTTACCTCAATACTTACCGAAACATTGAAAATCCAAAAATTTTTGCTGGAACTAAATTAGGTTTCCCTAGTAATTCGTTTCTTACTATTATCTAAAAAAACCACCAAAGTATATTAATATTAAAATATTTATATTTTTGCCGCAATTAGGTTATACTGATTCGATGGACTTATGTGGACTGAGAGCAATATTTTGCCTTTCTGATTTTCCTTAGTTCACGAATTTTTCCTCGGATACCATCCCCATTGAAACTGCAATTTAATAACGTACACGATGTTTTGAAACATCATTAAAGTAAAACAAATTTTTCAGAATCCAACGCCTCCTCCCAGATGCGGTTGTACGAAGAGGCATCCCAACCGGTAAGTTTTAGCAGCTAAATTCTGTATAAAAAAAAAATAAAAACGAAAATACAACAAAGTTGATGAACCTGTATTTGTTTTTATTACCTTTTACCTTATTTATTTTTGTGAAAAGCTGTTAATACGCTTAAAGATCTGGAGTTGAGATTGGGGAGGCTCAAAATCGAGGAAAGTGCTGAAAAAGACGTTTCTAAATAAGTTGATAGCAAGTTTATAGCCCAATTTAATGAACTCGTCAGCTATTTCAGATAGAATTCAGATCAATAAATAATTAGAATTAAAAAGAAACTAAATTAAATTAAAAAAAAGTGACACTTAGACCCCAAAAATCCTCCGTATTTTACCTTCAAATGCTTTTCCTTAAATCTAGTGGAACCTTATTTTTAATTTTAAAAGTATTTGGATGCTCGTAACAATTTACTTAAAATTTTGGACCTGAAGTGAGGCAACAAATTAATTTTAGGGAACGTCTCGCCAAATGGGTATAAATATGGAACCTCGAGAATTTCACGGCGAGGCTAAAGGGGCGCTGGTGAGGGTTTAGCAATTTCCAAAAGACTCTGCTAGCTAGCCTGCTTGAATTTGTTTTCCGAGGGGCCAAGAGAGAAGAGAGAGAGAGAGAGAGCGAGGGAGAGAGAGAAGGGAGCGAGAGAGAGAGAGAGAAAGCGAGAGAGAGAGAGAGAGAGAAAACGAGAGAGAGCGCGAGAGAGAGAGCGAGTGGGAGAGAGAATGAGAGAGAGAGAGAGAGAGAGTAAGAGAGAGACAGCGTGAGAGAGAGGCGCGAGAGACAGAGAGAGGGCTAGAGAGAGAGAGCCCAAGGCGAAAAACCCAAAAAAATCTTATTAGATAAAAAAATGTTTCGGATTTCGTCGTGTTAAATTTTTTTAAAGTTGCGGATTATATGCCTTTGAAGAGTCGAAGTTTAATTAATTTTCCAGGCGCTGCTCATCGAAAAGAAGCTGCTCGGCCCGATGGATGCGTTGAGCCGGGAATTTCTATTAATCCCCAACAAGCGAATCACGGCCGGTACGGCGACCAGCAGCAAACCTGAGAACCTGGTGTGTTCCTTCTTGCTGCCCTAGTCCCTTTAATAAAATTAGCAAGGATCACGAGTTTAAAGAGCAATTTTTTTATTTTTTACTAGACTTATCAGCACATTTAATCAGATTGCAAAGGAGAAAACAATTTTAAAAACCTTTGGAAATTTTGGAACATGGAAATTTTGATCGAAAAGATCATTATTTTTGGATTTTTAAATAACATTTCCAACGGTTTTTACTTGCAGGAATAGCAAAAATTGGATATTAAAGAAAAACTTGTCCTTCCCTGAACAATCCCCCGCCCCGAAAATGCCAAAGAAACGGATCACAACTAGATTTGCCAATCTTTTGCACGTGGTTTCGTCCCACTAAATTCCTGGCTGTAACGTCCCTTTAAAGGCGCTACGAAATGCCAAAAATTGATTGACGGCCCGGAAATCGGAGCCCTGAACGTCGGAGGCCTCTGTACACCCCGGGGCCCGGGAAGCTCGCAAATTTGAAATTGCCTGTTGTCACCTCGAAATCACGTTCTCGGCTGTTTCTGGGCCAAATTTGATGATAAAACACCAAAACTATTTAAAATTGAGTGAGGATTTCAAAAATGGGCTCAGAATGCGCAAATTATAGTTTTTTTCACAAAGAAACCGGGCAAAAGCAACTTCGCGCAAAAATCGAATGAGTGAGGGCTCGCGTCCCGCAGCGCCCGCTGAAATCATAAAGAGCCAGCAATCAAAGAGCCCTCCCAAAAGGGCTTTGATTTGGCAGTTCGGAGCCCCTTTAAGAATCGTATCAGGCAGCCGTACTTGAAGCCATGGAATTATTTTTCAGGCCGATTAAGCACCCAGATTTTTTGCTGAAACATTTTTTCCCTCACGACTTTGCTACCTATTTTCAGAACAAAAATCGCACGCGCTCAATTCTACCGTACGAAGACAACCGCGTCGTCCTTCAATCCCACAAAAGAACTCCACTGGCTAATGTCAACGCCAGTAATGTGGAGGTAATACGATTTTCTTTGCCTGGGATTAGTTAGAGAAAAAAGGTTTCAAAAATTTTTAATTCAACGCCGCGTTGGATCTTCTTAATTTTTTCCCAGGGGTATCCGGTAACAATTCATTCTTGTATTTATAGGTACCGCTGAACGGCCAGAAGTTGCACTACATCTTGGCCCAGGCTCCGATGAGGTTCGATTTTTGCAAAAGGGCAGGCTAGCAGAGATTGTTGAGGAAGAGGAGAGGGCAGGCTAGCAGAGATTGTTGAGGAAGAGGAGAGGGCAGGCTAGCAGAGATTGTTGAGGAAGAGGAGAGGGCAGGCTAGCAGAGATTGTTGAGGAAGAGGAGAGGGCAGGCTAGCAGAGATTGTTGAGGAAGAGGAGAGGGCAGGCTAGCAGAGATTGTTGAGGAAAAGGAGAGGGCAGGCTAGCAGAGATTGTTGAGGAAGAGGAGAGGGCAGGCTAGCAGCGATTGTTGAGAAAGAGAGAGGGCAGGCTAGCAGAGATTGTTGAGGGAAAGGAGAGGGCAGGCTAGCAGAGATTGTTGAGGAAGAGGAGAGGGCAGGCTAGCAGAGATTGTTGAGGAAGAGAGAGAGGGCAGGCTAGCAGAGATTGTTGAGGAAGAGGAGAGGGCAGGCTAGCAGAGATTCTTT